GGCTCACGGGGACCCAGGCCAAGGCTGCTGCGTGCACCGGGGACTTGGCAGTTTGACATGCTGCGCTAGGGCCTTGGGGTGTTTCTCCAGTGGCACCGCATTTACAGCAAGACTGGAGACCTTGGGGTACTGCAGCTTAACCACACGTTCGGGGCTGAATTCAGTTTCTTGAGAGAAATTATTTGGTCTGCATTGTACAGGGCTCACGGGGACCCAGGCCAAGGCTGCTGCGTGCACCGGGGACTTGGCAGTTTGACATGCTGCGCTAGGGCCTTGGGGTGTTTCTCCAGTGGCACCGCATTTACAGCAAGACTGGAGACCTTGGGGTACTGCAGCTTAACCACACGTTCGGGGCTGAATTCAGTTTCTTGAGAGAAATTATTTGGTCTGCATTGTACAGGAGATATGCGTCATTATCTCCAGCTGGTAAAAAACCCACCAACCCCTCTCCAAAAGCCCCTGGCTCCCTCTTCTTACCCCACTCCTTCAATCCTACCTGGTTCATCTTGCATCCTCATCATGGCATTGCATGAGGCAATTCCTGCTAACAGGTCACAACACTGACTAGCTGCATGAAAGGCCATGTTGGCACCTAGCAGTTCTGGAGTGGAGGAAGCAGACTTCCAGGGGAAGGCAGGAACCAGACAGGTGGTAAGGAAAAGCATTGTTGCAAAAGTAATAGCTACAAAGTCTTCTCATTCTCCCATAACCTGCTGATTGGGGATTCCTGGGATAGGACCAGACAGAGAAAAGGGGAGCTACTGCCATCACAACCTTGCACATGCTGAAGAGAGATGCACCTGGGCCTTTGGTCAAACCTGAAACTGCAAGCTCCATGGTCTGGGATCAGGTGCTGCTCTTCCAAAGTACTTTTTTCACTACTGCCCCAATGCTTGGTAGTCATCCATGCTTTCGAGCCAAGGGGTTTCCAGTACAAGCAATCATCAGCCCCTGAGGATGAGTAGCAATGCCTTTTGGTGGGGGGCCCAAAAGCCTTCCCCAAGCTAAGCAGGTCTGTGGCCAGTGTTTGGGATGGGAGGCAGCTATCTTGGCTGCAAGGAGACAGACTTACATGGGAGTGGTGGCAACTGAAACCTGTGCTGTCCAGAAGGTGAATCCTAGGAGTGGAGATCAGTTCCCACGAGGAAGCCCTCTCTGTAAAAGACACCACAAGAAAGAGATTTAACAGCATGGTCTTTGCCTCAACAGGTGTCTCATAGTCCAGGGTGAGGGACCAATGCCACAACACCCTGTCTAGCAACTTCTGACACCCTCCACAGAACCTTTAATTGGGGAATGTGCACTGCATACCCCTGCTAGAGAAGGGCTTGTCCATTTCCGACCACTGGGCTTTATAGTTTAACTGCCTTGATTCTGTGTGCATGGTGATTCCCACTTCCACATGAGGATGAGCACAGGCAGTCCTGACTGACTCAGTATCTGGTACCCACTGTTGTCATTACTTGAGAGGTTCTAGCTCTTTATTTCCAAACACTGGTTCCAATTTGTCGCCTATAAAGCCTTTTATGCAAGAGTTTTTGCGCAAAACCTCATTGCGCAAGAGCGCATCCAAACCTCAAAGCACATCGCAAAAGCGATGTGCTTTTGCGCAAGAGAGCATCCACGCTGCATGGGCACTCTTGTGCAAGAAAGCTCTGATGGCCATTCATAGAATGGCCATAAGAGCAACTGTACTTTTTCCCAAAGGGGTTTCTTGCACAGAAACCCCTCTGAAGCGTCCACACTTGCCTTTTTGTGCAAGAACTCTTGCGCAAAAGGGAGTTATGCCTCGTAAAAGGAGGTATACTTACAGCAGAAAAAGCCCTCTTCTGCCATTTTACTCTTGATTTCCTTGTGCAAAAGTGCATATGAGGTGTGGACGCTCTATGGGTTTTTGTGCAAAAACCTTGCAGTGTAGACATAGCCAGGAAGTCTGGCCATGCTCTCTAGTGAGGGATGTAGATGAGTCACAAGGGTTGTACAGAGGCAACAAAAGGAGAGAGCATGTGGCAAAACCCCTCTTTCTGCAGCCATTTTCTTTCCTGACCAGTTCTCCAGCCATGATTAGCAGAAAGACCCTCCAGAACCAATATGCCTTGGCTCCTTCTGCAACCCATATGCCTGAGGGCAGGAATGAAAGTGTGTGAATCAGTGAATGAATGAAGTGGAAGCGTGAGAGAGAGAGAGAGAGAGAGTGTGAGTGTGTGTGAGAGAGAGAGAGAGAGAGAATGAATAATTTTTTGGGCAACAATCAAATGAAATTAATAGATGGTATGTTTAAAAGGACACCTTGCCCAAGAATTCTGTGAAGTCCAAGACTATAACTGGCTTTAAAAAAGCAAAATAAATATATGGAGGACAGGTCTATTAATGGCTATTAGCAAGGATGGGTGGGAATGGTGTCCCTAGCTTCTGTTCCATTCTGTTCATTCCTTATAGGGCACCTAGAATCAGACTCATAGAATCCTAGGGCTAGAAGAGATCTCAGGAGTCATCGAGTCTGGCCCCTTGTCCAAAGAAGGACCAACCCTGACTAAATCATCCCAACCAGGCAAGACTTAAAAACCCCTAGGGAAGGAGATTCCACCATGTCCCTAGATAACCCATTCCAGTGCTTCACCACCCTCCTAGGGAAATAGTTTTCCCTAATATCCAACCTAGATCTCCCCCGCTGTAACTTGAGACAATTGCTCCTTGTTCTACCATCCGTCACTACTGAGAACAGCCTCTCTCCATCCTCTTTGGAACCTCCCTTCAGGAAGTTGAAGGCTGCTATCAAATCCCCCCTCACTCTTCGCTTCTGCAGACTAAACAAATGCAGCTCCCTCAGCTTCTCCTCATAAGTCATGTGCTCCAGTCCTCTCATCATTTTGGTTGCCTCCGCTGGACCCTCTCCAATACATCCACATCCTTTCTGTAGTGGGGGCCCCAGAACTGGATGCAATACCCCAGATGTGGCCTCACTAGAGCTGAATAAAGGGGGAAAATCACTTTAATAATAGAGGGGATTTAAATGTGGCCCAGGTATCCATAAGGCCATGCAGACGATGGTCAGTCTGCTCTGAAAACAGGGTGAGACCCTCAAAAGGAGGTTTTGGATGGTAGCCTGGGGCTCTGGAGGCACCGCAGACACCTGTAGCCACGAACCGTGGCATAACACAAGGCCCATGGCCATGGCGCAGGCTGCCACGTCTGCGGCATCCAGTGCCACCTGGAAGGCTGCCTGAGAGACTACCCTCCTCAGAGAGGGACTTAAACTTGGGGCAATAAGCTCAATGAACTTACAAAACATGGGCTGCAATGGGTAAGCACAACGACTCAGCAGTACCTGCTAATTCACTATGCGAAGCGGCATAACACAAGGCCCATGGCCATGGCGCAGGCTGCCACGTCTGCGGCATCCAGTGCCACCTGGAAGGCTGCCTGAGAGACTACCCTCCTCAGAGAGGGACTTAAACTTGGGGCAATAAGCTCAATGAACTTACAAAACATGGGCTGCAATGGGTAAGCACAACGACTCAGCAGTACCTGCTAATTCACTATGCGAAGC